TTTTCAACAGGATGGCTTTTTTGTGAAAGGCTAGAGTAACACTTTTTCTCAGTTTTAATTTAAAATAAAAAACATCGGTTAACCGAATTCACGTTTCTCACGTTGTTGTTGTAGCTGTCGTTGTTGTTGTGGTGCTAACAAGGAAAGTTAAAATGTTCAAAAATAAATTCAGAAATTCAGAAATATACCTAGTGGTGGTTGTCGTTGTTACGGTTGTGGGTTGACCTGGACAGCTACCAACACTATCACTTGCAACAACAAAGCTGAGACAATACGTATTTGATGGTATATTTGAACTGAAACAAAAGAGAAAAAAAAGCGGTCAGTCATGAAGATTGCCCAAGCAAATGTGAGCAAAAGTGATCTACTTGCTTTCCAAAGTTTCAATCATACGCTAACAATGGATGAACGTGCTGTCTTACCTATCTCTGGCAACAGCGCATACAATTTGTGGTCCAACATCAGCTTGCTGTGGTGTCCAAGAAAGACTTTCTGTATATAGTGAGTGATCTGTTGTTGCCTGAATAATTGATCCTTCTGTTACACCAGGTGTAAAAGTTTGTTGAACATCAATCGTACTTATACTTCTTGATGTCAATGTACCACCAGCCTGATAGACATCTAAAGTTGTTGACCATTGTACACCAACTTGTACTCCAATACAAGCCGAATCAGTACTATTCATTACTGGAACTGTATAAGTTGGCATAGTATAAACATTAATTAAAAATTGTACGGGTACGGAACTGAGTGATGATGAACTTGTACTTGTGTAAAAATCTTCGACCTCAATTAGACAAGTTTGATATATTCGGTTTCATTTTACAGCTCGTAAAGAATATGACTCACAGCCTAATAAATGACACGAGATTTGATGATAAGAATCTAATAAGCGAGTTACGGAGTTACTGCTGACGTGAAGCAATAGTCACTCACACCTACTAACACCCAAGTAACTGAATTTGTATCTGATGACTGTGCTTAGAAGTTTAGGACGCCGAATAACACAAATACTTTAATACCACAGAGCTTTCTAGAAAAGAACCTAATCAGAAGATTCCATTTTTGCCCTGAATATGCATTTTTATTAAAGTCTACATTGTCGAAGGCAATTACACTGTTCAGCGATTATTACTCTACCAGAAACAGTTCTCGTTATCGAACTCTGCATCGAATGGTAGTTGAAATCTTTTTTTCTTCCACTGTGAAAAAAAATGCTCCATGTCCGGGCTGCCATTCAGTCCCGACATCCGTTAATACCCTATTAAATGAAAGTACTTTGAAAGGTCTCGAACAGTTCCTCAGCATGGATATCTTTCTGCAACGGTTGCAGAAACATATAAATGGTCTAGCATTAATGGTACTTTAGTAGAGTTTCCATTGTTCTAACTAACTGTGTCAAAAAGTCAATGAAATCTTTAGTATTTATCAAGCACAAGCGACGTTTCTAGAAACGCAACGTAAAAGGACACTGTAAATTGATGTAACTTGTTCTCTTTAAAGAAATAACGTCAACGCCTGAAAATTTCCTAAGGTGCACAACAGAAATCTAGTGTAGCAGCTTACAAGCTGACCGAAGCTATCAGAAACTAACTCTTAAGATAGCAAATACTTCATAAACAATGGATAAAGGTAGTGCTGTAATGCTACAATTTCGATGTTATTAGTAATCTACCTTACAAAATTATTATTGACCTTTTTTGATGTGCAGCAATCGACTGAAGACAATTTTGATATGGGCTGAAGTCAGCAATGTTTCCTCAAAAAGTTTTCTTACTTGTAATGGAGCACAGTACCAGTCACTGACTGACAGAGGCGTTATTGTTATAAAACATCCATCTGTATTTGATACTGTTGTATTTGCTGGTATATTTGTTGGATAACAAACATCCTTACATTCTGTTCCAGTACTCCAGCGACATGCAACATAATCTCCATCTGGATCGACATATGGTACTTGAATTTTTGTTGTTTTACCTAATGGTATCGATGTTGGAATGAAAACAAGAGAAATTGGTGGTGTATTTATTAAACCATTATCCGTTCTTGGCCGTAGATCAATGTCTGTTGCAACTGCCCATAATCTTGTACCACTACCATAAAGTGCACGATATGATCCACTATTTGCAACAAATGCAGCGGTAAAATGATCATTTGAATTTAAATTAACGATATCTGTACGTTGTGAATATGTTAAACTTAATGTTGTACTAACACTTGTGCAATACGGAACAATAAGTGGAGCAACATAACCAGCGGATGTCGTGCCGCAATTTGATATACAATCTAATGTTGCGTTACAACAACCAGTTCTTGTACCAAGTACAACAAGTGAACCAACACCTGGACAAGGAATACCAGATGATCCAGTTAATACCCATACATAATTTTGTGTTATTGATACTTGAATTGGTGTAGTTAGATCAGTATTATTTACTGGTTTCCATGTTATCGTACCACCATTAAAATGGCTGGATTTAATCGCAGTTATCAGTGATAATAATATGAATAACAACAGCCTCTTAACCATTTGATAAAAATTTATTTTACTGAAAAAGAACAAAAGCCGTTAGACAGAATCATTACGTATCTAAACACTTTTATTTGTTTAAGATTTTCAGTAGCGAATCCTATATAATATTTTTCTATATAATTGAACTTTTTTTAATAATGTACTGCCACAATACTCTAGAACTTAGAGGTTTTCATTCCATTTCACGTGTTTTTTTGAGTAAAAAGTAATTATATCTTTCGATAAGAGGCCACACTGCACATTTTCTACAGGGTAGGTGGACATATAATTTTTCTTATCAACTTCCGAGTCGTAAAAAATAAAGTGTCTTCTCGACTGTTTTTGAGTCTTTCAGTAAATTCTAATAGCCCAAGTGATGATAAAAAACTAATTTTCTAGACTGCCACTTCCATTCTTCTCAGAAAACGGATTTTTGCTACGAAAACCTGAAAAAACCACCACATTGCGATAACGACGATACAAAATAGTCGTGAAACTTTTTTTTTCTAATACATCAGTCGATAGATCTTGTGACCTCTCTAATGATGTGCGAGTCAATGCGTTGTATTGCCAGCGAAATCTTCTTCTATGCAAACTTCTGAGAAAATGTATTATTCAAGATTCTTCAACTATAAGAAAAAAACTACTATGTGACAAGGCTACCAGGCATACGTGACTACATTTGTATCATCAAGCCTTATAAGATGGTCTACGATAAAGTTAAATTTAGTGTATTTGTCACAGGGATATAACGAGTTTAATCTCATGGGGATACTGTGAGCTGAAGAAATCTCGCAGGGTAAAATTCATTTATCGCAGGATGGATAAACTGTTTCGAGCCCCAGTCTGACGTGAGGTACATGCTATACGCAAAGGGAAACCAGGATAAAAGAATCGCTGCGAAAAGTTGAGTATTAACGGACATATCAGAAAAACAAAATTCAAAAATTCGTGAGACATTTAGTGTGTAAAGAAAGTTTGATTTCAGAAAACGTATTTTGAATTTTTAAACTCGACTTGTTTGATACTAATAGATATGTTTTACAACCGCCTGTTCGTTACAGAAAAGCCCAAGCCTTGGAAACTTGGACTGGTTCTTACTACGCGCGCAGTCCTCGAGACTGCCTTTCTGTAACTTTTCACTCAACCCATGTTGAGATTATATACGTACAACATCACCGAAATAAGGTTGAAAAACATATCTGCTATTATTAAACAAGTCGAGTTTAAAAAATCAAAATGATTTTTCTTCCTTTAACCGCAATAAACTCGCGTGATGGAGGACTGCGCGCGTAGTAAGAACCAGTCCAAGTTTCCAAGGCGTGGGCTTTTCTGTAACGAATAGGCGGTTGTAAAACATATCTATTAGTATCAAAATTGTCACTTTTTATAGTGAGAAGAGCATTGATCGTTTGTTTTTGTTACCAAAATGATTCTCAATCTGTGGGCTATCTTTTAAGTATTTTTGATAAAAATTGCGTTTAGTTTTAGCTGAGATGTGCGAATTTCAATCTCACGGGATAGAATAAGACCAAAGTGCCTGTAATAACATTATTTTAATTTGTTTGCACAAAAATTGAAATAAATCATTAATTTGTTTGTATATTTCGAGCGAGTTGGTCTTCAGCTTCGAATTATTCATAAGAAAAAGAATTAGAACTCATTCCATCTTTTGATAAAAATTCATTTTTCAAAGGCAAAGGACACCAAAAAACTTGGCGTGCGACAATTCAACTACTATATCGTAGTAACAAAAGCAGCTAAAGAGCTTCCGCTCTTAGTGGTAGTGGGCAAACGTTAGATGAATGAAATAAAAAGGAATCTAAAAAGATCCGTTGAGTAGAAAAAAGGTATTGCATCTTTCTCAGATATCAACGGTACAATACAAGCTCAAATCGCACACCTGAGGTTCACCCTTTGCTCAAAAATTTTATTGAAAAGTTTTTTCTGAGAAAATCTGACATCTTATACACTTTTCGATGCAGTGTAATGTGCCCATTTCAAATATGACCTTATTGTTGAATAAAAGCGCTCCAGAGCCGAGGAAAATGAAAAGTATCTGAAAAATCAAGGTTTTTAAAAATAGCTTGCCGTATTGTCCAGGAATGTTTTCGCTAATTTTTGCTGACAGTGATAATAGAAGGTACATAAGGGAATATTTTGCCAAAATTTGAACCTGTTTGGCTTTGTGCTAAGCTGCGCGTGTTTATTTTACTAAACATAGCCGTTAGAAAAACCTGTTTTCAAAAACTATTATGTTTTTCTGAAATGTTATCATTGCAGATTAAGAAAATATTTTATTAATAAATAGCAGACCGTGTATAGATTCCGAATATATGTCACTTTTGTCTATCGATTCGTTCACTTTTGTGAAAAATCAAGTTTACATATAATGGCAGGGTTACCAAGCTAATTTTTCATTAGCTAATTTTCTCATGATAGTTTTTTTAGTTAAACGAAGTTTTTGATGCCATCGAATGGAGCATATCTTGAAGTATATTTATTACTAACTGGATCGATGAAAAACCCACTTTCCTTCTTTTGCCTAATGTCCGCTGGATGCACATTATGGGAGCCAAGGACTGACCCGCACTGGGGAACCTCTTGTTGTAAGAAAGCCAAAAACATTTAGGTTATCGATGATGCTGATTACAAATCTGATCTCTGTTGAAATGTACTAAGAAATACAAAACTGCTACAAACATGATTAAAACAAATCACAGTGCTACTGTTTTGATTTATTATTGATATTTCGGCGATGTTTACTCATCATCATCAGAATAAACGAATGACGCCAGATTTGATTCAATAGGAGTACGAAAAAGAAAAAGAACAGATAAAAAGCTGCTTGTTCAAGCGCAGCTGGGAAAGTTTCTAAAAATCTTTGTGGGAGAGGAGCGTGGTGGCGACAGACAGTAACGAAGCCTTCCGCTTCTGCTACTATTTCTTTAGTACAAGTAAAAATATTTTTGAGACTTTTAGCGTCTAGAAACTCGTAGAGAAGGTCAAAGCAAGAAAACACAGTAAAGACAAATGAGACGTAGATGTGGCAGAACTGTAGGTCCACCTTTTCTAAATCTACAGGGACGTAGAAAATGTTTGAAATGCCAAAGCGAACAGTGAACATTTTCCGGAAAGACTCAAATTACGGTGCATACTCATCTGCAAAGTAGATAGATCATGTGGAAGAATGGACATTTGGTTCCTGTTTTCCTGAGTTTCAGTGTCTCACAATCCACGATTAAAACTGAGCTCGAATTGGAAATCAGCATTCTAGAATTATCTACAAAAACGCTTCAGCCAAGATACTATTTAAGATTCAGCCGTTCCAATCCATTCATAAGTTAGAATCTTCTCTAACCAACATGACTGAACGTACAATGTTGGCAATATCTTGGTAATATAGCAATATCTTTCAGCAACATTGAATAGCCCTTTTATTCCGGATGTAGAAACTGACGGAGTCTCACCCCTGCACCTTGAGATTCAGTTCAGTTATTTTGAAACAAGCCATGGTACATAAAAAATCTTATATGTTTACTTATTTATATTTTAAAATTTTTAGTTTTAGGTTATCACAGGGTATCCACGGATGCTACAAGATTTTGTTTCTTTTTTTTGTGATATCCTACTCTTTAGTAAAAATAAATCTTATCTTATCACATCTATGTAGATGTAGATAAATAAAAACAGAGATAGTCAAACTTTGTCATGACGACCATATACATTTAAATATAAAACGGGACAAAAGAAAGAAATAAAAAAGAAAAGAAGAAACTCTTTAGAATGACTTAAGGAAATGAAGAAGATTCGTGCGTACCCTAAGAGAGTAGGCTCTAAACAGGTTAGAGGTAAACAGGTTAGGTACAGTTACTAAGGATTTTGATAAAAGCTGATTCCAGCCGACTCGTTATGACCTGCTCCCGATAGCTGCAATGCTTACGTTTGCTAGTTAGTTTAAGTTAAAGTTTTTTCTTGTTGATTTTGACGACACTGGTAACATTCTTGTTGTAACTGCCTGCAGTTTAGAACGTAAAGTAATCTATTAATGATTAATCGTATGGTCCCGCAATTCTCTTTTATTTAATTTTCATTTTCTCAAACAAAGAAGCCAACAAATAAATTATCTTTATTTCGTTTTTTAATAATTCATAATATGATTTCATATCACATTATTATAACTTTTTTGTTTTATATTTTAATGCGTATAATATGCTTTAGGTAACTTACAAAAAATAAACTTTAATCAATAGGTGAGAAAAAGTTCGCATTCAGCTTGGTTAACAGAAGATTTTAAATTAATGATTTCACGTTTATTTACTGAATCTCTAGAAGTTTCGTGTATCAAAAGATTTTATCTCAATGCAAAAAAAAAGTGATTATATCTTTCGATAAGAGGCTATCATGTATATTTTCTACAGAGCAGGTCGACATGTAATTTTTCTTATCAGGAGTCCTATCTTTTTCAATAAAAATGACTTCCTAGCGCCTCTAACCTCATATCAATCGAAAAAACACATTCAAAAATATGTTGTTTTTCATCCAAAAGCATCTGTGCGATTTGCAATACCATTATACGGTTTCCTCGAAAAAATCATAAAAAATAAACTGTCTTGTGAAATTTGTTTGACTATCGCAGTAAATTTGGATAGGACAAGCGATGATAAAAAACTAATTTTCTAGACTGTCGCTTGCATTCTTTTTAAAAAATAGATTTTCGCTACGGAAAGCTTAATAATCCTCGACTACATTGAGATAACGACGATATAAAGTGGTCTTGGAATTTTTTTCTTCTAATACATGAATCGATAGATCTTGTAGTGACCTCTCTAATGATGTGTGAGTCAATGTGTTTTATTGCCAGCGAGATCTTCTTCTATGCAAACTTCTGAGAAAATGTATTATTCAAGACAGCGGGGAGGGGGGTTGACTTGTTAAGGTTGGTCTGTCATAGAAAATTTTGTGTGCGAGATATAATGACAGAATAGAAAAAGCTCTTTCGCTCGTTCAATAGAGAA